ACACATTCGATTCATTTATTTCTCTCAGTATCGATAATCGAAATGATATAAAGGAAAACGAAATTTGAAATAGAAAAAATGATAAAACTGATAAATGATGAAAAAGAAAATGAAATTTGAAATAGAAGAAGCGTAGCACGAGTTAGATACCTCGGCGTTAAAATTTGAAAAAATTCAAGAGCCGAGTTATAGTCACTTTAGTCTATGAAACGGTTCATACAGCGAACTGCTCGGGGCATACTCGGGCGATATGTTAATTTGATAGCCTCCCGGGTCAAACACGGGAAAGTATCCTTCTCTATTAGTTACAGAACCACATTTATTCGATTATTCGCGTTTTACCGAGCTCCGTTGTTTGTCGAACTACGCCACCGAAAATTCTGCCTCTTGGTATAATCTGATTCCCTATTTGCCTACACGCTGTCCGTCGTCGCGGTTTATTCAATTTACGAGAGCGTTATTCCACGCGCAGTGCATTCCTCTCGCATCTATATCTACCATTCACCAAGAAAATACGAAAATTATTAAATACTACAGAACCGACGAAAAAGTCGTCTCATATTTTTCAAAGATATTTCCAGGTATATTTCATTTCATCGAATAAAACTTTATCAGACTTTATTCCATGATTCTTCTTTTATTCGATCTGCTATTAACCCTTTGGCTACAGAAGAACTTTGCGTCAATGCATATTTCTATGAAAGTGTATTGAAACTATGAAAACACTGAACTGAACTAAATTAAACTAATCTAAAATAGTCAAATTTATATAATATATGACTAACGGAAATTGAAATTCTTGAATTAGAATTCACTTGCGTCAGATCTAAGCGAGCTTTGCTGCAACTATTGTCAACAATATATTACGAACGCCTATAGGCGCCAACAGTAACCAAGGCGTTAATTTGTTGTTTAACCCTTTGCACTCGAGAGTCACCATTTGATTGAACGCAGGAAAATGATAAAATAAATTCAATATAAAATGTTGAATAAGGTATTAACATGAAACAGAAATAAAACAACTCTTCGTTAATAAATAAATGAAAATCTAGTGTTAATGCGACCGAGCAGTCAAATCGACATTTCCAAATTTGTCTATAGCAACTCTAAGAATGCAGCTACTCAGATGTCTGTTATCTTTTTAGTAATTGGAAAAGGAGAATGTAGGAACTGGTTAATCTGACACATCCGGTAGTTCTAGTGTTAAAATAGTTTTGCCCTTATTTTCATCAGAAAATGACGGATGTGTATAACTGATTAAGTTATGTGAAAATTTATTAGAACATAATCACGTGAAATATTATGAAAGCAAGGTACATGTTCTATTTATGTGTTTACACAGTTTAGGAACAAGAACTCTGTCAGCTAGAAAACGTAAAAAAAATTCATCTATAATTGTCACGAGTCTCTGCTATAAATATTTTCAAGAAATATCTGTGAACTTCCAATTCCACTAGGACTTGTATATACCTACCAGACCTCATGAAAAACCAAATATAAACTCTGCTCGCAGGAAAGTGTAATTGTCAATCCAAAAATCCAACTTTAATACTTGAAATCCGCCAGTCACTTGGTAAACGTCAGTCAACCTGTGATGCAGTCTAACAAATGCTTTTCGAGCGTGAAAGTCTCGACGAGTTTGTCTTTTCCTTGTGTAGCACTAAATAAACTGTTAAAATAAATGTGCAGTTCGAAATGTATATATAATACATTAATTTGCAATACGCGAATTGAATCATGAATCCATTAAAGTCTCGATAGATACACTCTTAGAGTTTCTATAGAGAAATTTCAAAAAATCAATTTTTCTTTTCTAGATTTAACCACATCAGCTTCTGAACAACTCATTATTCCATTAAATTTAACAGAAATCAGAAAATATCGAAAAATCAACTTAACACTATTCCTACCGACACTCCACGTATACCTATTCCTACCGCGACCAGTCAAATGACTGCTCTTTGGAAGTACCGCAAAGCAGTCCCTGAAAGGCACTTTTTGGCTAAAATCATGCCACAACTGCATTACCTTTCATTTGTAACGACTTTACAGTATCGGAATTGAGTCTTTGAAAGAATACTATTACAAAAAGATATAAATCGTTCTACCGGTCGAATTTCCAGTCGTGGTAGGTAAGGCAGACTACAAATTTTTCTCAGAAAATAAACAATAAAAAAAGGTGTGAATATTGAAAAATGATTTATACATATAGTTTAGGAAAATTCGTGAAGTATAAAGGCGATTCAGTTACGTTGTCTATAGGAAATTCTAATCGAAATTTTAAAAACAGTCATTTGACTGGTCGCGGTGGGAATAGTGTTAACCCCATCGACTTCCGACCGACTCAAGTAATCCTCTTACTGATTCACTCGTGTCTTCATTTTATTCTAACTCACAAACCTCGGCCCATAGTTTCCAAATATATTCTACAATAATTTTCTCAATTTTTCTTTCCCGCACTTAACCGTATCAGCGTCTAAACAAGTGAAACGATAGAAAAAGCACGTTTCATATGTATGTTCCCGTGGTAACCGGTATCCACGAAAGTCCCATCTAAATCGACGCGGCGGATATCGCTGGCGTAGGTTCCCTTGCGAAACACATATACTGCAAAGACTCATTAAACACCATCCCGTGACGTGGCGATGCGCTTAATTGTGGTGCTTATCAATTCTGGTTCTGGACACTAGGTAATTATAGTAATTATGGTAAAGCATCGACGTAGTTAGAGGACGCCGGCAGTATACAAGGGATACATGCGCATAGCGGCAATACAGGTCCTCGGTGACAGTAGCCTACGCCAATATTAGGATGAACCTCTTAGTGTGCTTCGAGCTATAACCATTGACACAACCACTTAAATTAATAGCCGGCAATTAAGCGGATAATAATGCCGCCCCTATGCGCCCTTCCGATTCCGTTAGCCGTTAATAAAAACATATCCCCAAAATTCGCTGACCAGCGACGATTTCTCGGTAATAACGATACACGTCGAGTTTCCTGCGTGATTTAACCCTTTGTATTCTCTTCGATAAGTGTTCATTAGTTCCTGATAAGAATCGAAGTAGTTTTTGTAACTGATATGAAAATATATCTTGCGTAAATGAACTCATTGCGCTCCTATGACTCGACATCAGTTTTATTCACAGGTGTGATTCTTTGTCGAGATATTTTTCAAATAGATTATATTATTATGTTATTTTCAATATTATTAATAAGGAGAATCGTTTACACTGCTCTCTACAAATTATCTATTTTTTCAAATGTATTTCGAAGGAAATATCGTAATAATACAGAGTTATCGAGGAACAAATGCTAAAGAAATTCGGAGTGCAAAGTGTTAAAGAATAACCGAATTGCCGTGTTCAAAAGCTTATCCTCACACAACGAAAAGACCTTTTGACTACTGTACTTAAAAGATGAAAAGGATGCTCAGAAAACTTGCGCTTGTGATACTGTAGACGCTTGGAAATATTGCTCTTATGGTACTGTAGGTTCCTATAGATGATAAAAATATTACTTTATTAGATTATCAGGTATATCGTAAAAAAAGCATTAAATGTTAAACTTTTAGTATGTATACTAATAATTTGAAGCGGCCTAGAATTTAGTATAGAGGATGAAACTAGGAAATGGCATTGATGTAGGAATATTCTGAATTCTATTCGTAACGTCAGATGATTCACGATCTAAACGAAGTAGTATTTTTAATATGAAGCGAACGAGGTAAATTAAAGTGAAGGTCAACCAAGGAAAACACGTTTCGTGCGATATTTGAACACTTTGTTTACTTGCGTAGGGTAATTAGTCGCGAAATCGGATCGCGTTTCAGTCTGCGTATCATGGGATTTTCACAGCGTTTTGTTTAACTCTGGATAACTAAACTTAAGTTAGTATTACTCTGTAACTACATCAACACTTGACTCGTAGACTACGAATCAAAGGCATACAGATTTTTATATTTCTTGTATTAATTACGAACTTGTACTGTATTGTATTATAAATCATAAATTTATAATATTGCATTTTATTATAATTATATTATATATTGTACATTACAAGTTAGTTACCGTGTATCGCGAAGATAAATGTGTGTCCCTTAAAACCATTTGTTTTTTTTGCTAAAAGTTTAAAAAGTTTAATCTCTCTTAGTTCTCAATCAACAATATCGAACGCAAGTAACACTTTCTTAATGCCTCAGTAATTTTTCCATGCGAAGGTCTCGCGTACACGCGATTCATTGACATTTTCCCAAACAAGATCTCACGCGGTCATTGTTCCGCTCCCTTCTTTCTGAAATGTTTGCCGACATGATTATCGATTCTCGATATTTGTTCGCACGTGTCTGCTCTCCTCGCAAAATTACAGAATCCTGTATTCGCTGTTTCACAGTAGCGGATTGACCAGGTACCGGTGGCGTAACACTAAAACTCCACGTTAAATCATTCGAGCAAATTCCTAGCGAAGCATTAATTGCAATGAAAGAATTACGCACACAATAACGAAGACGAAAAAACGATTACAGTGATGCTCGCTTAAATTTTACAATCTCGGCTTCCAGGAGTGAAATTTAACCGAGCAGGTGAAACCGGTGGAAGCTATTTGCTTCCAATAATTGACTCGAATAGTCTGACAAAGTCTTTTTATTATTACGTTACTTGAAATATTTCAAGAGTCAGGCATCAAATGCGACAATTGCAAATGTAAATAGGTATATCATTCAATGATTAAAGTAAATTGAAAGTAAAAACCTAATGAGCATGTTCGGCGCGCAGTAGTATTTTAACAGTGGTTTTACAGGTGCCTTAAAATACTTCCAGTAACGCAGAGTCCACGATCGATTAATTTGGCTCGTCAAATTAACAAGCGTTGCATTCTAAATGCGAAATATTTGATCGTATAATACTAAATTCCGATGAAATTCCTGCCAAACCACGCAGTAAATCATAAAATTCCTCGTCCGACGTTATTCTAAAACGAACATTTTTCTCTCGTTACAGGTGCACGTACTAACGAAGACGACGAAATGAAAAGTGTAGAAACTGATCTGGTGCTACCATCGTCGCAGCTGGGCGACCGTTGGATCAGACCGGTGGACTTTGAATTCCCTGACATGAGATTCGAGGATCTGAATCTGTTCAGCAGCTTCTACAACTCCATACAAAGTACGTAAACGATAATAATGGGAAAGAAAGAATGAAAGAAAGAAATGCAGTGTAAAATGTGTGGATCGGAATATGATATAGACATTAATATAGGAAATTAATAAGATAACTGAGTTTATTAATAATGAAACGAGAAATATTTTATGATTCTTTAATATTGCAATTCGAATATTTTATAATTCTGTAATATTGCAATTGAAATATTTTATAATTTATATAATATTACAATTGATATATTTTATAATTCATATAATACCATAATTATAATTTAATACCATAATTATAATGACCCTTAACAGGTTCTATGACGAACCCACCATTTTTTACTGTTATCTGAATAATTCTTACACTATTCCTTGTTCTCGCGTTTCAATCGAAGCAAATGAAAACACTAGCGAAAAATCATAAATTTCATTTGCTAAAGACGTTCGACTGATCTGTCAGCGCTGGTCTAGAAAACAAGTTATAAGTGGCTAATAATAAAAAAGATATGTATTGGGGTCCCCGAATGACCCCACTTCGTATGCTAAGGGTTAAAAGTATTGGTTACCGGATCCCTTATGACTACGGATTACTGTGACGTCGTATGTATAACCCAGTCTCGCCGGGTGAACCGGGTCACTCTCACAATCAGTTACCTAGGGTAGTAGCCAGTTGCCAAGTGTTACGTGTGCCACGGTGCATTATTGAGAACCGAATTTGATACGGGTTAATGTTGGTATCCTCTAGAAAGATTGCAGCAATTACGTCAAAACGGATCGTTAACCTTTAATACTAGACCTACCGTTGTACCAATCAAAACGACTGGTTTTGATTAGTTTTGTTTCGCAATTATTGATATCTTGAAGGCATCGAATATTCGAAACGATCTTGGCAATAAATAGTTTCACCTGAATATTCTAATGAATGGCTGCTGAAACTCTGAATAATCTATTGTTACCATTTTTATAAGGATTACATATTAATCGTATTAAATGTTCGGTAATTATAGTTTTAATTAACAGCCACAGCAACTGGTTGCGATTCTTTTGTTTCGCAATTGAAGGAACTGAGAATAATCTATTGTTACCATTTTTATATGGATTACATATTAAACGCTTGGTACTTTTAATTTTAATTAACAGTCAAAACAACTGGTTTCGATTCTTTTATTTCACAATTATTGATATCTTGAAAGCATCGAATATTCGAAATGATCTTGACAGTAAATAGTTTCACTTGAATACTATAATGAACGTGTAAAACTGAGAATTGTTACCATTTTCATGAGGACTGCATACTAGTCTTATTAAATGTTTGGTAAAAATAACCGATTAAATATTCTCAGTGAGGCACCTAATAAAAAGATATATTACATTTATTTTTATAAATATCTCTACATAGAAATGGCGCCAACTATGTAACAAACATTCACAATACTTCATATAGAGTTCGCGACAGGACACGATAACTCGTCGAAGCTAAGGAATTCCTAGCGAATAACGAATAAAGTGTGAACTGTACCGTGGAATATATGTGATAAATGGCAAATACGTGGTAATCTTGGAAGTTCCACGTGTCCATTCTAACGCATCGCGCAGCGATTCATCAAAATCGGTGCGTCACACATCTGCCGGTCCCCTTGTTAGAACAACGTATTTACGCCATCACGGTTCAACAAGCGCAAACATAAAATTACACGGACTCGCGCGCAACTGTGTGTTCGTATCCCGCTTACATGCGGTGTGTCAAACGTAACTTCCGGTATATGTACAATGCGCCCGTGATATCCGTGCGCGTTCGGTATACACAGGGTGAGTTGAATAAAATGTTACGAGTTGTTTTCTCTCGAACCACGGTAGATATTGACTTTATTTTATTTCATTCTGTTGCGGTTCCATTTTTACCTGGATATTTGAAGCATTATGTTATTATATTATATTATATCAGACATCATATCATACCATATCGCCATATCATACCATTATTATCTTACATATCATATCATGACACAATATGACATTCTAATATGATATAATGGAATGTAATATATAAAATAATATATGATATGATATATATCATATATCATATATCATATATCATGTTATATTACATTATATCGTATTAGACTATATCATATCATATTATATTATATCATATTATATTATCGAAAAAGTAAGAACGCGAGCACCGCCAACAATTCTCTCGCACTCTTCACAAGTTCAAGGGTGTCTCAGAAAAAATGGGAACACCACCGAACAAAGAAAGAAATAAACTAATGGAGTGTTAGGGAAAAAACGAGAAATATCTCAAGAACGCAGCAAGATTAAATAAAACGATCGCTTAAACCACGCATACTTATTAACATACTTTCAAGGCAACCGTTAAGGAAATGAAAAGATCTCCTCTCACTTTTTAAGAAAGAATGGACTATTTACTCTCCGCAGATAAATTAGTATTCACTTCAAACATATTCAGTTGATTTTATAGAGTCCAAAAAAGTTACTTGTCGAAAGAGAAACTTAAAAGTGCCGTCGGAAAAATGTAAATAAACGTATTCTGAGCGAAAAATCGTTTCGTTAAACATTCGAGATATGATATCCTTGAACTTTTAAACACTCGAAAAAGTTTCCACGAACGTTACTTTGAACATTCAACGGCATTGAATCATTTTAAATTTCACACAACTTGCAAGAAATTTAACACTGATAACCGTACCGAAAACCGGTCAGATGACCGGATTTAAAATTCTAGATTTTTTTTCGTATATGTAATTTTAATATCAATTCCTCTATTGTCCCATTACTAAATTTTTCAATTCTTGCTGTTGTTCCTTTTGTTTCTGGTTTCACTACAAAACATTTATCATCCAACTAGTTTATCTTTATTTAACGAAATTATGAAAAGTGCCGGTACGGTTAGTGTTAATTAGATTTAATCCGATGATTGGGCCGAGTACAAATTCTAAAATGCAAAGGATTAATCGATTCGAAATCTATCTACGCGCGCGAAAGTATTGACGACTCTCGACGAAACTCGAATTTTCGACGTTTTGTTGCATCCTTTTGTTGTGCATGCTTCAACCCGTTCGGATAAGGTCGCGCTTGTTGGGGAAAAAATGACTGGGCAGAGGACTACTCGGTCGTAAAGTGAAAGCTACCTACATAAATGAGTAATACCTATAACGAGGAACTGCCGCAGGTAATGATGGAACCAGTTTCGACATGCAAACCACGGCAGAGCCTTTCGCATCCGAATACCTTGACACGTTCGCGGCCGCTGGCGCGAATTCACACCGTTAAATTAAAATGGTTGCGTAAATTTGTTTGCTTTTAACAACGGTCAGCCGCTAGTCCGATATTTTTCAATTAAACCCTTCTCTTGTAACATCGAGGCAGGCTTGCGATGAACATTTTCAAGCGAATTCGACAAATCTAGATGTTACTGGTTTCATTTTTGTTAGGGGAGATGGAGAAAGCGAGAGAAATAGTTGTTATTGAAAAAAGGTATATATAGATAGATTATTTTCAGTGTCTTCAGATATTCATTATAGCGTTCAAGAGGAACTATTTATTTTACTAAGTAGTATTAATTAATATTAGTGTTAATTAATTAACTAGTATTTTATTATAACTTTATTAAAACTATTTTTTTATTATTTAATTTATTTTCAACGTCATTTCAAATATTTGATGCTTTATATATATATATATATATATCATATATATTTATGTTTAACACTGGAATATATATTTAATATATAATAATATATTTGTATTTAACACTAGAACTACCGTACCAGTCAAGATGTCTGGCTCCGATTGTTTCGTTTCGCAATTGTGGATATCTTCAAAGCATCAAACATTCGAAGTGATGTTGAAAATAAATAGTTTCACTTGAACGCTATAATTAATGTTTGAAGAAACGGGAAATAGTCTGTTGTCACAATTTTTACAGGGATTACATATTAATCATATTAAAAGCTCGGTAGTTCTAGTGTTAAAAGAAAAGATGAAAAATACACTAACCCCTTGCCCTACAGTGACGAGTGAGACTATTTACTTTTTCTACTAAGCTCGTGTAACATTTTACTACCAGCAATCTGAAAGAAAAGCAGCAAAATCTTTTATTCTACTTTAACCAGAAATTTCATTTGAAGATAATACGTTGATAAGAGGAAAACAGTTTTTTTCTTAGATCCGTGGGCAACGAACAACATTGATTTTAGTTAAATTAATCCAAAAATCTTCATCATGAGTCTCACTCGTCATTCTATAGCGACTAGGTTAATAGGATTGAAAGATTACTTATACAGAATTCACGTGATTTACCTTGTAATTCCTCCACAATATCGTCGACGAAAAAGGAAGCGATAGAGAGTAAACTAACGGAAGCAATTAGCAAAGATCACCGTGCTAATTAGCTGCTCGCGATTACATCATTGATACCGCGGATCCACTCGTCCCCGGTTCACTTTCTTCTTCGGTCCGCAACGGAAAATTGATTTCATAGTCTTCAAGACAAGCATCTTCAATTTGTTGCGAGCTGCGTGGCGCCTTCTGCTCGCGTTCTGGAAGCAATTCCATGAATGCATCTGCATAACGTTAAGACGAGTTTTTGAGAGAACGACGGAATTAGTGGACGCTGGAAGAGGAGGATCCGAGCGAGCAGGAAGGAAACGAAAAGATCGAAAAGAACGAACGAACGAGCGGATAAAAAAGAACGAAGGAAAAAGGAAAGGGAGGAAAACAGCCGAAGAAGATATACAGAAAAGCTGTCCGCTGGGAGAAAAAAGATTGATGACGTTATCGCGTGGAATTCGCAATGAGGCGGAGAGTTTAAATGGAGTCGCGTTCTCGGAATCGCGCGCGGGAGCAAAATAAAAATTCACTCTCTGAATGTTTCCTGGTCCTTCGCGATGGCGCGGCGGGTAAAGGTCGCCGGATATCTCGTTTAATATTATCGACTCCAGCTGGAAAATGAATAAAGTGAATAAACAGCGATAAGGGGTCGGTGTGGTG